GGTCAACGGTCAAGGTCATCAAACGAAATCACAAACTGTGTTTTCTAAGTTTCTCAAAATTGGAGACTACAAATCAATATTTTTAAATGAAAGTCAGAATATATATTCCTCTACTAAAGGTTCTACACATATTAGCAATTGATTATCTATTAAAATTTGGCTCCAGTTTTGAGATATTATAGCTAAAAAACTGAAAAAGGTCAAATTTCAGAATTTTTCAAGGTCAAATTTCAACTTGCATTAATTCTACCAAACCTTTTTTAAAAACCTTTAGTTGACCTTCTAATTGGTAATGCCTACAGGGCCTCCGTAAGATTGCTTGCAATCTTCTAGTTATTCTTTATTTATTTATTCTTCCTAAACCTTTTTCTCCTACTTCCAACTACCTTTCAACTATCTACTATATGCACCTACTAGGGACCTTGGCTGAACTTGGGGGGAAAGGAATTTTTATCTAGGTCAAGGTCAAAGGTCAAAATCTAGGTCAAATCTAAGTTTTTTTCAAGTTTCTCAAATCCTGACACTACACTTCAATATTTTTGGCTGAATTTTTGCATTCAGATAGATATTAGTATTCTATTAGTCTTAGCCTTTTGCCGTCTAGAGACATTTTGCCTAGATTTTGAGATATTGAAGGTCAAAAAAAGGTCAAAAAAGGTCTTTTTTCAACTTGCTTCAAATTGACCAATTTTTTTTTTTAAAACTCATCTACAAGTTCTCAGGATTCCGAATCTGACCTTACTTTTGACCTGTGACCTTTGGTTGACCTTCAGTGACCTCCGAAAGGTCAAAAAAGTTGATTTTTCAAATCGATTTTCTGGATTCAAATTTAGGTATATTTATTCACAAAAGACCTCCTGAGGTCTAAAAAAGTAAAATTTGCAAGGTCAAAGGTCAAGGTCATCAAACGAAATCACAAACTATGTTTTCTAAGTTTCTCAAAATTGGAGACTACAAATCAATTTTTTTTACTGAAAGTCAGAATATATATTCCTCTAAAGGTTCTACACATATTAGCAATTGACTATTTATTAAAATTTTGCTTCAGTTTTGAGATATTAGAACTCAAAAACAGAAAAAAGGTCAAATTTCGAAATTTTTCAAGGTCAAATTTCAACTTGCTCTAAATTGACCAAACTTTTTTTTAAAAAGCATCTACAAGATCTCAGGAACTCAAATCTGACCTTAATTTTGACCTATGACCTTTAGTTGACCTTCAGTGACCTTCGAAAGGTCAAAAAAATTGATTTTTCAAATTGATTTTCTGGATTCAAATTTAGGTTTATTTAATCAGAAAAGATATACTGAGGTCTAAAAAAGTAAAATTCGCAAGGTCAAAGGTCAAGGTCATCAAACAAGATCACAAACTGTGTTTTCTAAGTTTCTCAAAATTGGAGACTACAAATCAATTTTTTTTACTGAAAGTCAGGATATATATTCCTCTATTGGTTCTACACATATTAGCAATTGACTATTTATTAAAATTGTGTACCAGTTTTGAGATATTGGAACTCAAAAACTGAAAAAAGGTCAAATTTCGAAACTTTTCAAGACTAAATTTCAACTTGCTTCAAATTGACAAATTTTTTTTAAAACTCATCTACAAGTTCTCAGGATTCCGAATCTGACCTTACTTTTGACCTGTGACCTTTGGTTGACCTTCAGTGACCTCCGAAAGGTCAAAAATGTTGATTTTTCAAATCGATTTTCTGGATTCAAATTTAGGTATATTTATTCACAAAAGACCTTCTGAGGTCTAAAAAAGTAAAATTTGCAAGGTCAAAGGTCAAGGTCATCAAACGAAATCACAAACTGTGTTTTCTAAGTTTCTCAAAATTGGAGACTACAAATCAATATTTTAAATGAAAGTCAGAATATATATTCCTCTACTAAAGGTTCTACACATATTAGCAATTGATTATCTATTAAAATTTGGCTATAGTTTTGAGATATTATAGCTCAAAAACTGAAAAAAGGTCAAATTTCGGAATTTTTCAAGGTCAAATTTTTACTTGCATTAATTCGACCAAACCTTTTTTAAAAGTCATCTACAAGTTGTCTGGAGTTCACATATGACCTTGTATTAGAGATTTGACCTTTGGCTGGCCTTTGAATGTTCAGAAACGAATATAGGGCCTCCGTAAGATTGCTTGCAATCTTAGATCGTTAGATCTCTAGTTATTGTGCATTGTTTTGACAAGGTTAAGTCTTCTTTAAACACAATATTGCTTGATAATGAAAACTTCACTTCAACTCATATATTTCTATCTAAATTCAAGTGTTCAAGTAAGGTTCTAATATTAAACCTGTTGGCCTAAGTGCTTAGATTTCATTTAGTATAAGGGATATTCAATTTGGATAATTTGAATTTTTCTCACCATTGATTGCAGTTACACTGTATTATAAAGAAGGATATTATTATATGATTGTTATGGGATATAATATTCACAGTATTTAATTTAAACATTGACAATCACTTGATGTAAGTATTATTGTATACTAGTATATTTAGGCTATTCTAGTTTTCAATGTTTTTGTTTGTATTGTTTTGAAGTAAGTAAGTTATTTGTAGTAAATATTCCACACTTTTGGATTTTGAGAGGATGACACATTCATGAGCTTTTGATTAGTTCGTCAATTTGTCATCAATTTGGAGGGGTTTTCAGGTTCTCTGAAAGTCAGTTTATTAATAGCGCACCACTTCTATTTTGATTTGTAGCACTTTAATTGAACCTAGAATTTAATTGTAATGTGAATGGCTGTTCAGTTCTGAAATCCGTCCAATGTAAATATTAATGTGCAATTCAATGCAATATTTCATTAGAGTGTTCATTTTGACTCCTTTGTTGACTTTTACATGTAACCAGCACATACCTTTAGGATATGTTACATCAGTTACTCAAAAGTAAAGAAGTCACAGTCTTAGAAGTTGCAATGACCTGCTCCAGTCCCATAAAACTCTAATGCAGCCTTTTAGAGTGCATATAACATAAAAGATTATTTCAAACGTGAGTATGATTCTATTCTCAAATGGTAAATATGGAACTATAAGGCATGTGATAATTTCAAATTCTCTCATTACAGGAGTTGCATGGTAAGAAACATCAATGATTTTATTTTCAAATATTTATTTTAAGATATTTATCGTTTACTTAAGATATATTATATATTTAAGATATACATGTATTATGTATTTAAGATTTATATTTAAGATATATTATGTTTTTAAGATTTATGTATATTTAAGATTTATATTTTATAAAAGTTTGACAAAGTTTACATTTGTTTGTTAATGGGTGCACATGCCCTCCAACTGAATTGTTTTATCCCTATAGATATATGCACAATGCACATGCATATCAGACTCATAAGGTTATACTATGTAATGAGGCCCTGTACGATAAAATGTCAGAATTGTCACTTGATGCGATACCTGGTGTAATGTACTCTAATACTCTATGTATATTAATTCATTTACTACATTGCAAATACTCAAGACATAACTGACACCAGAGCTGACGGTGACTTTGTGGGATACAACAAAAAAATAAAAATACTACTGTGTACACAGGCCTCAAATGTTACTTGATGAAACAAATTGAATAAATTTAATAATGTTCTGATATTTCCTAATAATGGTTATAATGGACTCTTCCTGAATAGTTTTATTTTAAGCTATAGTTTATATACATGAGAACTGTCCACAATTTCCAAGACATTCCATTGGAATTTCTGATGGAAAAAGTGGGTAGGGGAGGGGGGAACTTAATTCACTAGCATTTGAAGTTCATGACCGGAGTAAATAAAATTAGTCTGGCTTTACAAAAAGAAATATATTTATTACTCTTCTTGCTCATTCAGGATTTATGAAATATGACTTGAGAAAACATAGTCTCATGTTCTCTATTGTCTGAGTAAATCCCATGAGTAAAGTGAAATGGTATGATAGATATTGAATTAGTGAGATCACCAATTATATATCGAGCCGATAGACATAATAGAGCATACATATACACTATATTTTTAAAATCTATGGTATAAAGAATTCAACATTTCAACAGAAACCTAAGTGGATTTCATGAACATAAAATGAAGAAATTTTAAGCAAAGGTATTCAAGTATGTTTACATTTTAAAAATCTTGTAAATGAAACTTTATAAGTTTAATCATCACTTTATATAAACAATCCAGGACATTATAATGCATTGTTAACTTGGCAAGATAAGTCTGGTAACATATTCATATTTGTCTTTGTGACTTTAATATTGTGTTGTAGTGGTGATGTCTAATGTCAAAGGCTCTGAGGGAATTGACTTCACAAACACTATGACATGCGCCTTAAGACACTATTGCATAGCCATTCATGCACTATTGTAATGACAACTGGGCACTATTACATTGACAATTGCACTATTGTAGTGACAACTGGGCTCTATTACATGGACTTAATTGCACTATTGATGGTCTTCTTTAATAGTTAGAATTGAGAAGTGAAGATATATTTAATACTGTAGTACTGACGCATGTAACACCGACAGACACTGACACAATTGTGACACTGTATTTAACGACACAATTGTGACACTGCATTCACTTATTTTATGTTGAACTATATCCACTGGAACATGTGTGACACTGTATTTACTTTGTATTTACCAACACAAGTGACACTGTATTTAATTACAATTTGTTCATCGAAACATACAAACAAAAACAGAAACCATTAAGCTACCCAAACTGTCATATTATAACATTTTTAAAATGAGAATAAAGCAGGATTATTACATCAGATAATAAGAATTTTTCTTACACAAGACAAGAACCTACTGAGTTCAAGTATCCCTGAACCTTGTCACATGTATTGCTAATAAATAGATTCATTACAACACAGATGATAAGGGTGATGATAGGTTTTCTTGTTTTAGATTCTTCACTTGAGGAGCAATAGACCTTCATTGGCCACTTCACTTGAGAGATGAATACCATACAGGACGGGCATTGTATAATGAAAAGGACAGCCTATGGTGTCTATCTTATTTTTGTAAGTTGAAAATTATATTATATAGTCATAGTTTTCAAGGTATATTTTAGTTTCAATTTTGTATGCATAATCAGGAACATATTCAAGTATCTGATATGGAGAAAATGCGCACACCGTTCATATACCCAACATTCATGAACTACACTCACTTACATACCCATATCTGCTATCCTAATTCCCACTTTGAATTAAAATTGACACATTGATCATTTCCGTTTTCAGAATTTATGATTAGTAATGATGGTTAGAAATGTTATGTGGAACAGATAGGTGTCACCACCAGATCTACAGGTAAGATTTTTTTAAACTTCATTGTATATTCCTCATTTGTGTATCTGTTCGACTGTTTGATTGATTGATTGATTGATTGATTGTGCTGACCATCGCCCAGCAAATACCAGTAAACCCCTTTTGTCAGAAAAATACATATTTTTCACATACTCTATGTTATTCTTGAGAAAAATAAGAGTGAACATATAATTTTTTTTCTCTTTATTACATAATTTCATTGTACATGTACATATGACTATTAGCAATAATAACAAATAATACCTTAAAAAGACTATAACGAATCACAAATCTCCCCCTAGGATTTCCTGAAAAAGTGAGTGAACATATAATGCTATCCTTTCAGAGCGATTGGTCACTCATATCAGCAACTATTTGTACCTGTCTTTTATATAATGAAATAAAACAGATTATAAAAAAGTTCTTCACTTGGTGAAGCCTTAAAAGTTACTTGATGAATTCATATTTTCATAACATATTTTCATGAACAATTTCTGATGATCAAATGATAGATTTAAGAAAATCAAAATTGACAAGGAACTTTCCAGGTATAGTAAATTATTCAATGAAATGCTTGAACCAATAATTGTTGAAACATCGAAAGAAATATCTCGTGCCAGGTGAAGTTTTGAAGCAGAGACCTCCACATGGGCAACAGATTTAACCCCTTGCTGTTTGTCAGTTAACCTGGGGCATATTTTCATTCAAAATGCCATTATTAGCTTGTTTATTTACGCCTTTTCTCTAAAAAATTTGTATAAAGTACATGAGATTTTTGCATTTTTGTACAATTTTGGATATTGGCTTTATAGCTTTTTACTTTATTTCTTGATATTATCCCTCATTTTTATAAAATTTGAGATTTAAGAATATGATCATGTAGTGTTTTATACGAGAGTATATACGTCTGCTATGATGAGTCTCAATGAGGAGTATAAGAGGGTTATCATTGGCACTTGGGGAGCTATCTTCGAGTTGAGATAGAGTTTTGATATGACTTTAATAAAGTGTCCTGACTAGTGTGGTTCTTTGATAACACAACAAACTTACCTACAACTGGATTTATATTATATGAAGGATATAATAATACCATGCTGGTCAGTAAAAATATACATATTATATTATACCATATTTTCTATGTTATATCATTAAAGAAAATTAAGTTAGTGTGATTTAGAATATATGTTTCCCAAAATCAAATCATTCCTTTGGAACAACAGTCATAAAGTTGAAATATTCTAAAATTATTTATAAGCCTTGGAAACTGTTTATTCTATTATGACCTTCAAAATAATTGATATGTTAGAGCATGGTCATACAAGTGAATCGTATTTATAGAGAAAACATCTGGAAATATATTTTATTAAAGCCACATGTATAAAGTAAACTAAATGTAGCTTTTTTATTTACCTTTGGATATCTTGAGTTCTCTTCCAAGCCAATCAATGTGAAGCCATTATTAACAGCTTTAGTTGAGAAAAGTAGGGTCAAAAGAATAGTGCTATTTGCCCCAGGGTTAGAATATACCATTGGAAAGACAAAAGTGTCATGAATAAGAATATTTTAACATTATAGAATTATGTTACAAACTTGGGTTAATACTTATTTTATGAATTGGAGAAATGTTACTATTATTTCAAAAAGTCTTGTTTCGATGGGAAAAAAGAATTTACAATAAAAGTTTTTGCATGAAACCATGGGCTTTCAAGAGAAAGCCCGTGATGAACCATATTTCAAAGAGGGACTTTTTCTACCCCAAATGACCTTCTAAAATAGAGCTCCTCAGAGCCCTAGGTACGTATTGTTCATTGTTAATATTTAAGTCATAAGAAATGAAATCCTTAAATCTGATATCCCCGGTTTATTGGAACCTTGGGGCTTATTGGGTCATCAAGTTCAATTTAATAGTATATCTTTGCGTAAGTATTTGGTGAAGACAGTAAATAGCTTCAGATATTTGGAATACTAAGAAAATAAAATTTCCAATAGTACCCATTTCAGTTTCAAAAAATGTTTTGACAGTTCTAAATTGTTTGTTGTATTCATCAAGGGTAAGTGGGTGTTGTAGAACATAGTTTAATACTTTTGAAACATCCCTTTTTTACGTAATCTGTGCTTGTCTGAGCTCGTGGTTAACATTTACATGTAGATTTTTTGACAATTGATGATAAATGTGCATATAGTCTTAAAATGCACTTGTTTGTGAGAGTCATGGAGCCTTAAAGAGTGCCATGTCTTAGACATCGAAATATTTGAGCAAAGATAAAAATTATTAAATTGAAGAAAGATTATGCTAACCATGATTAAATAAATAGGGTTGGTTGTTGAATTAACCTCTTAACTACCTGGAGTGACGAGATTTCTCATCACCTCAGAAATGACCTTGAAACCCAGAGAGACGAGAAAATCTGTCACAAAAATTTTGACTAAAATTGCTTTTATTTGAACAATTTTCATCTAATTTCCATTTTAATTGTTTTAAAATGTGTAGAAATGATCTCTGCCATCTAATTTTACTAAGTTGAGCATCTAAAGTTGTATAGGTATGTAGTAAAATGTCAAAAAGGTGGCAAAAATGAAAAATTCTCTGGTTTCATCTGATTTAAGAGCCTGGGATTCAAGAGGTTAAATTGGAATAAGGTATGACATGTTTGGACAATTAGGCATAAATTGATGAGGCAAAAAGTCAATACTTGGAAACCCTGTGATTTGAGTATTCATTTTATTATAAAGTAAATACTCAGTATATGTACATATTTCAGGGATCTAAACATTCCTGCATTTAAAAAAGGTTATAAATGCACAAAAGCAACCACCCTGTTTTTACGAGAACTTGAAATAGTTATTGATCATTTTGTGAACACAAGATATTCAGAATACTGAAATAGAAACAGATTAATAAATATCAATATCATAAATAAATAAACAACCACAGTATGTAGCATATCATTCTTGCTTCATGTAGTAAACAATTGATAAAGGGTTTATCAGTGTCCAATTAAATTGCAATTTTCTTTCATATAGTAGATCTATTTAAGAACTAAACTGAACTTATAATTGTTTGATATCTAAGGGACTTCTATTCTAAGGTCATATACGCATACCCAGTTTGATTTCCAATATAAACTTCATACATAACTAATCTAAGATGATCTTAGGATGTCCCAGGTCAGTATTGTCCCAAAGAGTAATTATTTTTCCAGATTGATTCTCTCTTCAAAAATTTAAGCGAACATTTATTGATATTATCAAATTCAAAGTCACTTCCATTTAAAAATGTATCCTAATAAAACATAGTAATAATTACATTTGTAAGCATACGTTAATATGAATATTGACCTTGTACCTAAAAAGACAGTAGTAGGGGAATCCAAGTCTGTCTTAGTTTATTGATTGGCGGAAATCATTAAAAAGAACGAGCCATTAAGAAGCGTAACTCTCAGTGCCTTGGAATATGATTAAATGAAAAACATGAAATTCTGTACCTCTTCAATTCTATTTTAACTCCTAATAGTTTAGATAAGACTGGTTAGCAAGTGCTTCGAAAATAGTGCTTGTTTAGTCAGGATATTGTTTTGAATGGAATCAGTCTGATTTTTCTTGAAGTTTATATGGTGAACGAAACTCTGTGGATACACATGTAGTTATGGAATGCTTATATCAATAACAGAAAAACCTCACTGACCTGTTTATATTGAACATTTTTTGCCAAGAAAAACGTTCACTGTTTGTAGGTGTTCACTACAGAGAGGGTAATTTATACAGAAGTCAGTAGAGTATATGTGAAGAAATGGTGTCTACTAGAGACAGGTGTTCACTAGAGACAGGTGTTCACTAGAGACAGGTGTTCACTAAGACAGGGTTTACTGTATAAAGAATCAAAGATTAGTTCAATGTTAATACACACATATACTTAATGTACATATAATTAATATATGTCTGGAATTTGATTGGACGTTGTACATTGTTTAAAGGTACATGTAAGATGCAACTTTTAGACTAGAAATGAGATATGGGTAACTTTTGAAAATTTTGTCACAATGTTACAATTTTTGCCTTTTTTGAAAACTTTTAAAAATTGCTTAAAACAATAATTCAATGTTATCTGGCAAGAGTTTAAATTCTATTGAATTTGGATATTTCTGTATCTTTTGAAATCTTCAGCAACTTTCACATTTGATCAAATCTCTTAACCTAACACGACTGGGTCAGGAAATCATCATGATAGAAACCATCTATTGATCAGCCAATATTTGAGACCAAATACACTTTCTGCAGTTATTGCAACTATGAATTGTATCATTTTGTATGCAAGATTTTAATGTTGCTACTAGACGGTTGAATTGTTTTGTCCGAGGAAAACAGATTTTTCAAAGGTATACTTTATCAATTGTTTAACATATCCCAACTAATCAGAATAAAACACTAAGAGATATATTTTAATTGTATTTTCAGACTATCAAGACTAAGAACAACAAGAATCATATTTCCCATCACCTCATCATAGAATATATCAGGCTTGTAAAGCTATAATAAACAATCAATGCAGACCCTGGCGCCACCTTTTTGGAAACACTTTGATTAAGTGAGGAATCTACACATCAACAATCTAACTGAATCAGGTATGTGGAATATTTTCTAGTGAAACCTGAGCGAGTCATAAACAGATCAGAAACTGATTAAGTTGGTCAGATTTCTGAATGTGCTGTAAATACTGCTATATTTAGTATGATAAATGTTCCAGAACAGTTGCTTTTGATCTGCAGAAGTGTGTAATTCTCAATAGTTTTAATTATGGTTTTTGAATATATTTGATTGTTTGTTTTGTCTGTTTGTTTGTCAATTTTACCTACTTGTTTCATTTGATTGATGATCCCTGTTGTCATACTTAAAACTTGATATTTATATATGATATTTTTGATATTTGATATGATATTTATTGATTGGACATTGTAAATGCATTACATCATTGACTTGCTAGAGTAGAAACTTGGGTTAATTTGTCTTCACTTTGTCCTTCAAGGTTAGATTTAACAACTTAAAATGTCAGGTGAGTAAGTATAAGTTAAAACTTATTACATCTTGGGGGTATGTTCTCTAATAAACACCTGTTTACTAGTTACCTTCATTCAATTTGGACAAAACAAAATACACAAAAGCATCAATGGTAGTACAAAGATATCTCATATGAAACAAAATCATGTTCTTTTAAATTATGATTTTTTTATGCCAAGGAAAGGGGCCCTTATGCCTTAAAAGGTCATTTGTTTTATAACACGTTGGAATGTGTTTTGTCTGAGCGTTATTACACAGGATTGCCACAGGGTGTTTTTAATGATTTAGAAGCTGTAATGTACAGAACATGTACTAATGACATAACATTAAACCACTGAGAAAACGTAACAGTCATGATATATTCAGAGGAAGGATTTATGAAAGTCACTATGACATTTCTAGGAATCTAGATGAGGAAAAAACTGATATGTAAGTTTAGTAATCATTAAAAAGGTAACAAAGTTTGTAAAAAAAATTGAATTTGTTGAAATTTTTTGTAATCTTGTCTGATAATTTTTTATTGAGATACATGTAACTGGTTATTTTCTTTTAAAATTAAATTAAATTTCATATCATATCTTATCTGCAGTGTTCATGTTATTAATTAAAATTGGCAATACCATGACTTTTGTATTGAAAATTAGATCCTTTAAAAATATAGTCCTGGATTTCAAGGCTGTAGTTTGCACTATTGCAAAACCCAAGTATGTGATAATGACTTACTCACTTCGAGAGCCATGTTAGATTTTGAAACTTATGGCTCTCAAACGGGAAAGTGAACAGCTGATCAATAGTGACCTTTGAAATCAAATTAAGTCGATCCGCGGCTTACTTTTGGTCTCTAACTGTGTCTTACATCAGTATCGGTCAATCCTTGTAAGTATTGGAGCGCTGGAGTACTTCTTTTTCGATCAAGACTTGTAATTGTTAGTCGAGTAAATCGTTTTACTGCCGAATTCCAATATGGCGTTTTCTGCTCGGACATTTTCGTAAATCTCCGGAGGTTGTCCGAACCTAACTAATTCTCAAAATTCATTTCGTTCGTTGCGTATCTCGCTCCTAGCGAACCGCCATATTGGAAATAGGTCTAAAAAACTTTCACTCGATGAACAATTTACAAGTCTTGATCGAAAAAGAAGTACTCCAGCGCTCCAATACTTACAAGGATTGATGATACTGATGTAAGACACAGTTAGAGACCAAAAGTAAGCCGCGGATCGACTTAATTCGATTTCAAAGGTCACAATCATTCAGCTGTCCAAATGCTCCGTGGGAAAGCTATTATATCAAAATCCAAATAGCTTTCGCAGGAAGTAAATAATGACCATTTTATTGCATATAATCTATCTTAGTATGTACATCTACTTCATTTCAGGTACAAAATCATTAGTTTCTAATCTTGAGAGTTATTGACGCCATTGATTGTCACCTTGTTTATACTTGATAATTGGTTAATATGCAGTTCTACCTGTTCTTAAATATTTGTGCCTTTTTGATTCTTTTCAAGGTCAAGGTTTACTTTCAGAGTAATAAGATGTTTTCCAAAGTTGTCCCTGTTTACGATGTCGTGGTATAACAAGGGGGATGGGGATTTAATTAGACATCTGAAAGTTGAATTGAAAGGGTTTTGAGAGCTCTCACATTCTAATTTGAAACTTTATGCTACAACTAGATTTGGTGTACCCATAGGGAGACAGAAGAGTATCAAAAGATCAACAAAATATTATTGAAGATTTAAGACTCAGAAATGTGTTAATTCTGCAAAATGCATTGAATTAATTAAATGTGTTCATATCTATACGACTTTTATGGCATATTTGTAAGTTGATGACCATGTATATCATTTACATGTACATGAGTATATATATGTACATAATAATAATATTGGCATAATCTTCATGATGCTGGCCTGTTACAGTTAATTTTAGAAAATTGAATTAAAATTCTCATTCAATTTTGTTGCATTTTTCGTAGAATCCCACATGTACAATTTGTTTTTTTCAATGTGACTCGACGCTGACTTTTTGTTTATAGGTAACTTCAAAGTTATAGTGAAGAAGGCAATAAAAGAATAATCCTTTAATAATATTTTATGTGGAGTCATATTTCTGAAACAAAATAGTCAAATAAATAGAAAGCATGAAGTGACTGCTTTACATTGTAGAGAAGTGTAACACCATTCATTGAATATCTGGAAGAGAAATGTAATAAATTGGAGTAAACAAGGTTGTATTTTATAAATGGGAACTGTAGGAGATAGTAAAGGTGAAGGGCAAGAGTTAGGAATATAATACTAATAGAAATGTAAATAACATCCCTTTGTTTTGATCCTGTTTCTTGATGATCCTGTTCCTCCAATTTAATTATCCTATTTATAGCTGTTATCATATTGGTCTAGAAACAAAACAACTGTGTTTGTTAGGCCTATTGAATTTATAGTGAAACCCACCCTCTGTCCATTAGTTCATCATTGAATCTATCCATTTATCAAAAATGACTAAAATACATTGAAACCATTGGCTTAGTATTTAGTGGTATTTGGTATTTTGATAAATGATTTCATTACTAAAAGATTTCAGAATGGTAACTGCTAAGTTAAAGTTCTGTTTCACATGATTTGAAAATGACATACAAAAAAAGTTGTCTTCCTAGAGGCCCAGTGTATAAAATGGCTAAGAATATACAGTAAAACTTATGTATATTGAACAAGTTTTCGCCAAGAAAAAAATGTTCAGTGTTTGCTGTCACTACAGAGAGTAGTCAGGAGAGTATGGGCAGAGGTTCAAGGATGTCCACTTGAGAAAGGTGTTCACTAAGACAGGTTTAACTGTATGTATATATTTCAAGAAATAATCCACTTTTTATTAACCTTGATACTTGAATTGCATTGTATATCTTTAAATGATTTCATAAGTGCATAATTTACACTTTTGATCAAAAAAAAAATTTTCAACCTGCAGTTTTTACTAATTATCCATAATGTAGCTTTCTTTCTTCTCCATTTGATTAAAAAAAGGAATTAAGACTCATGATAACCCATATCCAGACTAATTGAAAAGTTGTCTAAATGTTGACGCCTTGTTTCATAAACATTTCTCTGAACTTTAGGCCAATATATTCACATTTTCGTTTCAAACATTTTATTCCCATGATCGAAATCGTTGGCAATCTGTTGAATCTAATCAAAGATATTTCTCCCACTTGAACTTGTATCAATATTTCTCTCGTACAATTTCTACATGTTTCACACAATCACTTCAGTAATTCACAATTTCATTCACTCTCAAAGGATAACATCTGCATGATGTAACGTGATGTCATTTTTATTTTTATTTTTATTCAATTCTTTGTTCAAACTCTACTCCAAATAAAACCTTGTACTTGATAACAGCATCAATTTCAAAATAGCTCAAGAATGGAATTCGCGAAATTTCTAGATGTACAGTACGGGCCCTAACAGTACAACCTGTTTTTATAATAGGATGATCTGAAGTGAACACCTTTGCACCAATGATAACATTTAAAGAGGTCAATTGCTAACATATTCCAGAATCAGCATGAAGAGGCTAAACTTTTATTTTCACTATCAACATTTGATGTGAATTAACTCCAAGGTTTCATTAGCAGAGTTAGCTCAGGTTAAGATATTCTAATGTTATTTTAGTTCTTCTGTCATAAACTAAGTAATTAGCTATCTAAGAGGCAAAATACTTGAGATTCTCAATGTTTGAAGAGTTTTTTCAAGCCTTTTGTTTGAAAGATAGTTACCATAGGTTGCATCTATCATATTGTGGGGTGTCTGTTGCATTGAAAGATGGGCAAAGTTATTATGTATGGTAGCCCTTGGGGATTGTTGACAGTTGTTAAAAAATGGTAGTCAATTCTATTAATGTTTGACCCCCTCTTCTCTCCCCATATAATTTGAAATTGTTTGTTTTGAATTTTACTTGAATTTCACTTATTAGCTCATTAATAATCAGGATTCAAATTTGATAAGAACTTTTTCCATATCATATTAGTTACAATTTAATAGATTTTTTGCGTGTAACTATTATAAGCTCATTTTAACTATGGTCTTGATAACACAATAATTAAACATCTAAATTTGTTTTTCACTCCCATTCGTTCAACTCTGAATTCTGGTTACCATAGGTTATAGTGCCAATTGCAGGTTTGCCCATTTACTAGTTTTACCAGACAACATAGAAGGCAACAAAAAGTGGAAAGTTCTACATGACCTGTTGCTGAGGTGAAAACTGGCTCTTTTATTTACTAATTCATATGGGTAATCAGCCCCCTTTTATCAGAGACACCAACTTTGCTTAAATTTTGTGATATTCTCAGTTGATCAATAATGTTTTTTGGAACCCTATATTTGAGATTCATAATTTCAAATATTACAAAATCTTGGCACGTTTTTGCCATTGGGATTCTTAGCATACGAGGTGGAATGGTATTGAAACAATAGAAAAAGTTGAAATTGTTACATTGCCAATTATTTATCAAAATCAGTACAAATTCAGCATTATTTTGAGAGAAGCTTATTTTAAAGATGCTACGTATGTAA